ATATATATATATATATATATATATATATATATATATATATATATATATATATATATATACATGGCCAATTATAAAATTATTTTCCTAATATTAACACATGAATATCAATTAGACAGAAAGAAATCTGCACGAACTTAATGAATCAACTTAATAAATACAACAATAAACGTTGCGTCCAGAAAAAAGCAGCTTAGCAAGCGCTTTCTGTTACGCTGTCAGCATTATAAGGCCTTTTGCTAAACGCACTAAAGGCACTAATGGTTGATGTTTCCCCGAACGTGTTTACTAAACTGTCACCATTTCTTTCAACATAGCTTTAATACACCGAATCGCTTAGCAAACATGTTGAAAAAGCGTAAACTGCTAAGTATCGCAAAACGAAGTATCAGGAGTGCTATATAAAACTCTTATTGAGTTGCTTTTTTTATTGAACATAACTAATGTGTTTTTATGAGGAGAAAATATAATTTTTTTCTTTCTTTATGGCAACTTTCATAAATTTTAATCGTTGTTCGAGAACAACCAAAAATTTGTTAACGGAAACGAGTAAAACATGTTACATGATGACCCGCGCGCTGCGTGAGAACGTTCTCCTCCACCTTTTCCTCTTCCTCCTCCTCCTCCTTCTCTTGCTTCTCCTCCTCCGCAAAATCTATTGCGAACGTGCGCTCCATCGAGGTTAACGTAGTTCTCTCTACGGCTCCGCCGATTACCGAAAATTCCCACGTTCTTAAAATACACGAAAGCGTCGTCAAATCGCGCCACAATTCGTTCGTTCTATCACAGTGGATCGCACGCGAGAAATGCGAGGAGTCGTTCCGAGAGGAACGATAATCGAACGAGCCGAGAGAACCTGACCCGCGGCTAAGATCGTAATTTTATGATTTTTATGCGACTCGCGAGTGCTTTCACCGGCATATGTGCAGATAGGCAGAGACAATAAGAACAAGGGGAAACGAAAGCACGACGCCTTATCGGCGCGAACTCCAATTGGTCGTGCAGATTGTCGTCGGTTAATTCGTTTCGGCGATATTTTCGATGCGCACTGCCAAAACCGGATCTCTTTCTCTCTCTTTCTCTTTCAGGATGGTACCGCTCACCTGCAGTGTGACCTTGAAAGGTTCTTGAAGTCGTTCCCGCTCCAGCAGGTAAGCTATGGCACTGGGCATCGCGTCCACCCCCTTGGCCTCTCTCGCGCCGAGATACCAGACGTAATAGAAGCTTTTCTTGACATCCTTGCTACCCCTCAGGCGCAGGGCCATCACTCACTATTCACGGAAACAAACGGAATTTCATCATCGTTCTCGGTTAAGGACACGTTGTCGAGGAAACGGATTGAAATGCCGGACACGGTGGACACTTTGACGATCCGTTATTACGGGAGTATTCGACATTTAATGGGCTTGTTAGATGAATCAGATGCTGATTTATTTGATTCACAATGCTCAATAGCCTGCTATAGTCGAGATGACATAAATAAGAGTCCTCGTGGCACTCTTATACCCAGCGTATCGCGCATTTTTTTTAAACAGTTAAATTATTACTATTATAAACAGTTATATTATGTACTACTTATGTGTTATAAACAGTTAAATTATGTTACTCGCGACATAATTTACTTTCTCGTGGAGATACTCTAAGAACGATATAACACTTGAGATAACGTAAAGCATATAGAGGAGAACTTTTTTGTTAATATATATACATTTATAATGTATATTTATTTTTGAACAGCAATAATAGAATTTTCTATTATTAAAAAAATTTTTTTTTATAACATCGAAATCGTTTCTTAAGAGACGAAAATCTGGAAGATCAAATATCGGTTAGTATTTTCTATACACCGTAAATGATAATTCCATGTTGTGCAGCGAAGGTTATCAGGTGTTAACACGGAACGCGTTCGCGCGCGGAAGTGTTTATCAAAACAGCGGAAATTGCGGGCAATGCTACGACTGTGTGCGGAACGTAAACGGATACTATTTCCTGCATGATTTTTCTTTAAATATACTCCGCCTCTTTTGATCGGAGAAAAATGTCGATTTTCCGCAAGCGAGTCTTCCACCGTGAATGCCGTGCGAGAAGCACGAGCGAGAAGCCTGTCGGTTCATCCACTTCCTCAATTACTTTCACGCTTAAACCCGTTTCCACGTTATCCATCTTGTAGCGAATGATTTCCCACTGATCCTTAACGACGGTGCTTTCTAACAAAAATGTTTTACGATATAGAAGAGAGTGCACCGATGTAGATGTCAACTTATAAGATAAATCATCGAAGGGCATGTATATATTTTTAATGTGAACTATCTTAAGGAGCAATACTTGAGACAGTCTATTATTGCCGTTTCTTTTCTGAATCGAGAGTTTCGCATGGAATATTTCTTACATTGACGAGAGGATATGCCTGAAAGCCACTTGTTTAATTCATCGAATCTTACAAAATAATTTTACGTCAAAATATTCAAAATATCACGCGATTCTTTTCTCTGAATTCCTTTCAGTCTGACATTTATGCAAACATCTACCTGCAACTACTTAAGCACACCCGCGCACGTCCTCTTTCCATTTGACGTTATACGAGCGTATGCGTCGAATTTTGAATATCTTGTTTGCATTTTCGTGCACAAACAGCTGTATATATTGCCTGAGAAGAACACTCTGCGCAATAAAATTAGCGTAGGTCCACAATTTTTCAGAAATAAGGTATGATCAATTCGCTTCTCTTCGCGTATTCGTGCAACACTCGTCGTTATTTCAAACGCGTAGAATTTCGGGCGGTAGACCACGCTTTTCTCAGAGCGTCGAGGCGGTCTCGAGAATCTAACGATATTCAGGATCGATGTTGGTAGCCCTACTACCGAGGCTTCAGTCCCTGCAGCGGGGAAATACTAGGGCCCTATGCCTACACTACTGTACATTGCCACTTGCCTGATGTGTATATGTGTGTATGTGTGTACGCGCGCGCGCGCGCGCGTGTGTGTGTCGGGAGGTCTTTGCCTCGCGTTTTACAGCCACCCTGATGAAGAACAGCAAAATTCGCGGCCCCTCGTTCTTGGCGCATAAAACACACGCGCGCCTCGCACTCGTCACATTCACATGCACCGCGCGCACGCACGAGCACGATATGCACACCTGTAACTCGCGTACTCTTCTGACAGCTGCGGGGACCACTGTTCCGTGCACTGGCCGTAAGGCCGCTCCGTTCTTCCGGGCGACGCTCGCCGATCTGAACGGCGGAACGAAACGGAATGGAACGGGGACCAGCGGGCCCCCGCGGGCCCCGACGGCTCGCGAGGCGAGAGATCGGCTTTTTTCAAGGCTCCCTCTTGGCTCGCTCACTCGCGCGCCGGAGACACGCCGAAAGTCATTTCGGCATATCGACATCGGTTCCACCGTGATGTTGGCGAATACAGCGCGAGAGTAAGCGGGAGAAGGAATGAAATTGGCGAACGAGCGAGTGAGGGAGGATGAATTAAGGAGGGAAAGAAGGTGTAACGATCAGTGATTCGGCCGTGAGTCTTACGTCTTTTGATTCTAAGCGACCTCACACGCTTGTCTCGAAGGTGTGCTCCTGACGTTTTCTAATCTTCTCTGTCCTTTCTCTCGCTTCTCCTAGCCTCGGATTTACCTGACCGCCACACCTTGTTGAAGATCGGTCTGAGATCGGTCGGCGGTAACGCGTTCCACACTTGGAGAAAGAAAGAGAGAGGGCAGCTTCTAACTCCGATGCTGTGTTGGACGGATTCCGTCCTGAATTCGTGTCTCGGGTCCCCCTCGTCTCTCTCTTTGAAGAGGAAAGAGAGGAACGGGTCTTTCCCTCTCTCCCCTCTTGCTCCTCTTCCTCCTCCATGTCCCTTATCGGCTTGTTCCTTTCTCTCTTTCTCATGCTCTTTCTGCCGACATCTCCTTCGGATTATCTACCTGTCTGCTTCTATGTAGCTCCGTTGCTCGTATTTCACCTATTCGCTTCTCTTTAAGCCTTCGCTGCATCGATCGTGCAGTATAACTGTTTGACTTGATTTAAAGAGAAAGGGAGAATGGATGCTCACCTTTACCTTAATCTCCTTGTCTTTCGAGGTGTAATGTTGCGTCCTTCCTTCTCTTTTTTCTCACCGTTTTCACCCCCACCCGAAATTTCAAACCTGCCAGCACAACGAGGCAACGAGGACCGCTTCTCCTGTCCGCTTACGTCTGTGTATTATAAACGCCATGAGTGCGCTTTACAGGACATCAGATAGTTCTCTAAGGTACGACGATCAGCGTACGTAAATTAATTGTCATGTATCACAGGCTACAATGATAGGAAATTACAGCAAAAAACTATTGATATTTGTTATCATTACTTCTAAACGTTCAACGAAGCGATATTTAACACGCAGCACTTTAATTTGTAATATTAATTAATCCGACTAATTTGTCCGTCAGATAATATAATATTAACATATATCCAATATAATATTTAACATATATCCAATATATTATATAAATATTTTTGTGATTTTGTGATCCGAATATTGCTTTATCACCCGACTAAAAAGGGTAAAGGATATTCTTAATCAATAAATTATGTATTAATAGTTATAAACATAACTGTAAATACTACATGTCTCCTCTTGTAACTATCTATTTTTATGAGAAATTGTTTATATACTTTTATAATATCCTGCTTTTATATTATGATCGAGTTCACTATGTTTTAACTTGTCAAATGATTCAACAAGCATTTATCAAGCGTTAATTCTTACTTAAGCATTCGGCAAAGGTTACTATTAATGAGACCTCTCAATTAAAAGAAGCCATGAGCGACGAATTATCGTCAATGAAATAGACGTTAATCCTGATAGAAAGAAGAAATTGTCATAGAATAACTTTATTCTTTTGAGACCAATATTTTACTATTTTAAACAATATTTGTCACTGATAATAAATTGAGTCTAACAAAAAAAACTATTTTTGTAGCGATTACATTAATGGGCTCTAAAACTTATGAAAAAAAGTTTATATAACTTAAAATTAAAAACTTTGTGTTTATAATCGTGAGACTGTGTGTGCAGGGAAAGATAAGGAAAACTGGAAGAAATCACAGACGGAACATGTTGAAATCAAGCGCAGGAAAAGTGCACCGTCAATAATAAAACTTGCATATGTCTGTATGAAGCAGCTGTTGGCAATTCGTAGAATATAATGCGTTTATTCTGAAATTAGAAACTCTATTCGATAGAAACTTACGCTGAGATGAAAATTGAAAAGATCTATGTCTGTAAATATGTTCTCTTTTAAATGTATTATTTACCGGTTCATATACTGTAATCTTACCAAGTGGAAAAGAAAAATGTAATAATCTTTAGTTAAAGCAAATAGTAATACGAGATAATCTTCTTGTTGCAATACATTTCTTCGAGTAAGATGAAGTTACTTATAGGAATGGTGGAAATAATATACCACTGTCAAACAATGCTCACATTGATGTCATTCTACAACGATATAAGCACAGAGCGTAACTCATTTTTTGATCCTACCACGCGAATGATGTTAATACCAGCCAAGCTCGCAACCTGGAGGATTCTTTAGGCGTGATTAAATGTCGAGGAGTCTCTTTATTACGGTACCAAAGAGAAGGATATAGAAAGTCACGGTGTGACGTAATGCAAAATTGTAGACGCTAGATAGTGTCTGTGAGAAGTCTACGACTTTGAATATAAACCGAGGAAAGAAAAAGAGCGAAATACATACGTAAGATATAATGAAATATTAGGAAAATGCTTTCACGTACTCTACATATTCTCTCTCTCTCTCTCTCTCTCTCTCTCTCTCTCTCTCTCTCTCTCTCTTTGAAGTGATATAGAATACTTATTTTAAGTAGTACTTTTGATACCATGATATTAACAATGCTGTCGTGTCAGCAAATTGTATCAATAAACGTTTTACACGAATCATTGTGCCAACAGCACATCAAGGTGAAATGCAACAGATTTACGATCTGCTCTATTGTTAACTGTGAGTAAGAAAAATCCACATGCAAGGGACAGTATAATTTGCTTTTAGCCCTGACATTTTGCCAATCGTATGAAGTTGCATGGTTTAATTTGCATTGTTCCTGTTAATATACATTAGCAATTCCTGATTCATACTTTTCCTTATACAGAGTGTCCCAGAACAATCTTCGAAGCTCTCGTACGGATTAAGATGAACATAAAAGTCTTATAACATTTTGTGATATTCGTAATCATTATCGAGATATTAATTAAAGAAGATTTAGAAA